TAAAGTTTATCTTGTATATACTAAAATCTGTGATCAGATAAAACAATACAAAACTTTACAAGTTGAAATAAAATTGACCTTGACCGTACGAACCTTGTTCCGCCATTTTCTTTTATCAGCTTCTGAATAGGAGCTGCTGCGTCATTTGTATTTATAGTGATCTAATTATAGCAACATATCAATGCGCGCATGTAACCTGTCGGACCGCATCACTCATACCCCAACATACCTCCTTCCGCAAATAAAAATAGTTACGTAAAAGCATGTAAGTCTGACTGCATAAATTACATTAAAACAAGTTTTAATTTGTATTTATCATGAATAACTTATAACAAAATACTGCTTAAGATAAAACCCTTGGAAATAAATGCAAAATATGATAGTCTCCTCCGCCCCTCACTAACACCCTGAAATACACAGCACTAGAAGGATTAACTGGTCAGACTAACACAGGTGTGAGGCTGTGACACCTTCCCCACTAATACCCGATATCGTTGTAAGGTTTACTGGTCAGACTAACACAGGTGTGAGGCTGTGACACCGCCCCCACTAATACCCGATATCGCTGTAAGGTTTACTGGTCAGACTTTTACAATTGAGGCTGTGACACGAGTCCTGATTGTCGTTCCGGTCTCCAATTAGTGACCATGTCTTCATTCAGTAGCCACTTGACCACTTGACAATGTAGTCCAAAGTATCTCCTGCTAGGTACTTTTCGTAATTCATTGTAAAGGTTTTCGCCACCTGTAAAAATAAATTAACCGAGCATTAACATCTGAAACATATAACTAGTATATTTTGAAGGTACATATAAGTAAATATATGCATTTTCTGGTTGTGTGTAAGAAATATAATCAAGGTAGATGCGCGTCAATTATTGATAATTAGCAGGTACCCTTAACCGTGATGCATTCGTCGTTCCAGTCAATGACATAAAAGCAACGCCAATGGTTAATGTATGAAATATCTCGAAATACACGAATGTGAATACAATGAAGGGCAAGAAATTTTGAATTGAATGTGTCAACAAATACATTGAAAATAGGACTACGCAACAAACATATATGAGGCTGAACAACACTTACCGGCTCTGTGACACACGGTCCGGATATATGAGTCGGTACAACTCTTACCGGCTCTGTGACACACGGTCCGGATATATGAGTCTGTACAACCCTTACCGGCTCTGTGACACATGGTCCGGATATATGAGGCTATACAACACTTACCGGCTCTGTGACACACGGTCCGGATATATGAGGCTGTACAACACTTACCGGCTGTGTGACACACAGTCCGGATATATGAGGCTGTACAACAATAACCGGCTCTGTGACACATGGTCCGGATATATGAGGCTATACAACACTTACCGGCTCTGTGACACACGGTCCAGATATATGAGGCCGTACAACACTTACCGGCTCTGTGACACACGGTTCGGATATATGAGGCTATACAACACTTATCGACTGTGTGATACATGGTCCGGATATATGAGGCTGTACAACACTTACCGGCTGTGTGACACACAGTCCGGATATATGAGGCTGTACAACACTTACCGGCTGTGTGACACACAGTCCGGATATATGAGGCTGTACAACACTTACCGGCTCTGTGTCACATGGTCTTGATATATGAGGCCATACAACACTTACCGGCTCTGTGACACATGGTCCGGATATATAAGGCCATACAACACTTACCGGTTCTGTGAAACATGGTCCGAATATATGAGGCAGTACAACACTTACCGGCTCTGTGACACACAGTACGGATATATGACGCTGTACAACATTTACCGGCTCTGTGACACATGGTCCGGATATATGAGGCCATACAACCCTTACCGGTTCTGTGAAAAATGGTCCGGATATATGAGGCTGTACAACATTTACCGGCTCTGTGACACATGGTCCGGATATATAAGGCCATACAACACTTACCGGTTCTGTGAAACATGGTCCGAATATATGAGGCAGTACAACACTTACCGGCTCTGTGACACACAGTACGGATATATGACGCTGTACAACATTTACCGGCTCTGTGACACATGGTCCGGATATATAAGGCCATACAACACTTACCGGTTCTGTGAAACATGGTCCGAATATATGAGGCTGTACAACACTTACAGGCTCTGTGACACACAGTACGTATATATATGACGCTGTACAACATTTACCGGCTCTCTGACACATGGTCCGGATATATGAGGCCATACAACCCTTACCGGTTCTGTGAAAAATGGTCCGGATATATGAGGCTGTACAACATTTACCGGCTCTGTGACACATGGTCCGGATATATGAGGCTATACAACACTTACCGGCTCTGTGACACATGGTCCGGATATATAAGGCCATACAACACTTACCGGTTCTGTGAAACATGGTCCGAATATATGAGGCAGTACAACACTTACCGGCTCTGTGACACACAGTACGGATATATGACGCTGTACAACATTTACCGGCTCTGTGACACATGGTCCGGATATATAAGGCCATACAACACTTACCGGTTCTGTGAAACATGGTCCGAATATATGAGGCTGTACAACACTTACAGGCTCTGTGACACACAGTACGTATATATATGACGCTGTACAACATTTACCGGCTCTGTGACACATGGTCCGGATATATGAGGCCATACAACACTTACCGGTTCTGTGAAAAATGGTCCGGATATATGAGGCTGTACAACATTTACCGGCTCTGTGACACATGGTCCGGATATATGAGGCCATACAACACTTACCGGTTCTGTTACACATGGTCCGGATATATGAGGCTGTACAACACTTACCGGCTCTACGACACACAGCACGGATATATGAGGCTGTACAACACTAACCGGCTCTGTGACACATAGTCCGGATATATGAGGCTGTGCAACACTTACCGGCTGTGTGACACATGGTCCGGATATATGAGGCTGTACAACACTTACCGGCTCTGTGACACACGGTCCGGATATATGAGGCTGTACAACACTTACCGGCTCTGTGACACACGGTCCGGATATATGAGGCTGTACAACACTTACCGGCTCTGTGACACACGGTCCGGATATATGAGGCTGTACAACACTTACCGGCTCTGTGACACACGGTCCGGATATATGAGGCTGTACAACACTTACCGGCTCTGTGACACACGGTCCGGATATATGAGGCTGTACAACACTTACCGGCTCTGTGACACACGGTCCGGATATATGAGGCTGTACAACACTTACCGGCTCTGTGACACACGGTCCGGATATATGAGGCTGTACAACACTTACCGGCTCTGTGACACACGGTCCGGATATATGAGGCTGTACAACACTTACCGGCTCTGTGACACACGGTCCGGATATATGAGGCTGTACAACACTTACCGGCTCTGTGACACACGGTCCGGATATATGAGGCTGTACAACACTTACCGGCTCTGTGACACACGGTCCGGATATATGAGGCTGTACAACACTTACCGGCTCTGTGACACACGGTCCGGATATATGAGGCTGTACAACACTTACCGGCTCTGTGACACACGGTCCGGATATATGAGGCTGTACAACACTTACCGGCTCTGTGACACACGGTCCGGATATATGAGGCTGTACAACACTTACCGGCTCTGTGACACACGGTCCGGATATATGAGGCTGTACAACACTTACCGGCTCTGTGACACACGGTCCGGATATATGAGGCTGTACAACACTTACCGGCTCTGTGACACACGGTCCGGATATATGAGGCTGTACAACACTTACCGGCTCTGTGACACACGGTCCGGATATATGAGGCTGTACAACACTTACCGGCTCTGTGACACACGGTCCGGATATATGAGGCTGTACAACACTTACCGGCTCTGTGACACACGGTCCGGATATATGAGGCTGTACAACACTTACCGGCTCTGTGACACACGGTCCGGATATATGAGGCTGTACAACACTTACCGGCTCTGTGACACACGGTCCGGATATATGAGGCTGTACAACACTTACCGGCTCTGTGACACACGGTCCGGATATATGAGGCTGTACAACACTTACCGGCTCTGTGACACACGGTCCGGATATATGAGGCTGTACAACACTTACCGGCTCTGTGACACACGGTCCGGATATATGAGGCTGTACAACACTTACCGGCTCTGTGACACACGGTCCGGATATATGAGGCTGTACAACACTTACCGGCTCTGTGACACACGGTCCGGATATATGAGGCTGTACAACACTTACCGGCTCTGTGACACACGGTCCGGATATATGAGGCTGTACAACACTTACCGGCTCTGTGACACACGGTCCGGATATATGAGGCTGTACAACATTTACCGGCTCTGTGACACACGGTCCGGATATATGAGGCTGTACAACACTTACCGGCTCTGTGACACACGGTCCGGATATATGAGGCTGTACAACACTTACCGGCTCTGTGACACACGGTCCGGATATATGAGGCTGTACAACACTTACCGGCTCTGTGACACACGGTCCGGATATATGAGGCTGTACAACACTTACCGGCTCTGTGACACACGGTCCGGATATATGAGGCTGTACAACACTTACCGGCTCTGTGACACACGGTCCGGATATATGAGGCTGTACAACACTTACCGGCTCTGTGACACACGGTCCGGATATATGAGGCTGTACAACACTTACCGGCTCTGTGACACACGGTCCGGATATATGAGGCTGTATAATATTTACCGGCTCTGTGACACACGGTCCGGATATATGAGGGGTGATGACCACATTGGGAAGGGACCAAAGTTTACAGTCACGTGACAACGGTTCGGGCTCAAATACGTCCAAAACGGCACCAGCTATCCATTGATTCCTGTTAGTATAGAAATACAGCGATTAGTGCGTCAATATTCATCAAATCCAAAACAAGTCAACAAAAACAATTTAATAAACTAACCCAAACAAGGAATTCATCAAAACCATACAACTTAGCACGAGCAGGCAAACAAACAATTAAAACAATATATTTTTTTCGGGCTAGTATTAAAATATTTTCCATATTTCTGTATTTCATCTCATCTACGAAAGCTATTCACTGATAGAACTAATGCTTTGATCCAAGTTCTTTCAATCAGCTGTTCTATAGGCAGGTACCCTATTTTATATCTGTTTCTGTACAATGTGGTTTAGCAAGATAGAAATGAAAACGTGAAAAAAAACTGTTTTCTATATCTTAGCATTTTTCCTGTAGCTTCATTACTCGAGATGCATTCAGTTTATATACAATCAAGAATATAGACATCAGTGAAATGAAATATTTACTTGAAACGGCGGTTACCGTTCCTTTATACCATTGTTTCAACAGTCATAATTCAAGTTTGATAATATTAACATTTTCGCTTGGGGTTAAGACAAATATGTAAAATCTAAAGCCAGCTTATTAAGTTTTTTTTAAATATTTCATCTAACATGAGTAGCGTGTACTCATTATTACACGGAACCAGTGCGTTTCTCTACTTACTCAATGGCGTTAACTAAACTATCCTCGTCCACAACACTTCCACGACCCACGTTAATAAAGGTTGACTTCTGAAAAAAGAAAATAACAAATATAGCACAATGACGGTCTTTTATTCAATCATTTTTTGTTTGACTGTTTCACCGATACTGTTGGATCAGAGCACCAAGAAGTATCTTTCATTATTGAGATAACATATACAATTCATTCTGGAAATTATCATCAATCCGGAATCAGTGAAACAAACGCTCAGATACTAGGAACATGTACCAATGTACAATGTATCGTACATGGGTACTCCTACAAAGTAGCATAAAGGG